GTTTGGCAATAGATTAGAGGTTGGGTTTCCACCATTTGGTACTAATTATCTAGGAACAATCTGATTTCCATTTATTACATTCACATGGCAGTGCTGCCTGTATTTATATCAGAAAAAAAAAAGGGTTGATTCTGCCCTCCTAGCCTCATGAATGCCCCCAGAAGATTGTTCCATTATAAGATGTGGGCATAGCAAGTTAAATCACATTATTCCTCATGATTCTTGTGTCTGGATGCTTACATTTTACTTTTCTGGCTATAGATGCTTTTAACCAAATCAGACGATTGCCAGAAAGTTAAATGAATAAAATTGTAGTCCTTAGAAGTACTGGACTTTCTATTGCTGAGTAAAATAAATGTCTCCCTTTCAATTAAACCAAGTGTTTGTTACTGGATAAAATTCTACCTTTACATAATCAACTGCGTGGCCACTGATTAGACTTGATAGGACAATTATAACCTAAAAATGTGTATTTCCTTGTGGGTAAACAAAAGTGCCTGTTTATCTTCTTCTAGTGTTTGCTTGACTGTTACTGAAGTCACAATGGGCAGGAGCAGATTGTGAAAACTCTCAGTTATACAACGAGCCAAATGTGAATCTTTAAACAAAGGCATAAATTTTAAGCATGACATTGATTCAAGAACATTTGCTGTCCACAAAAAAATGATTACTGGTGCACGGCTTCATTTTCATAATTGTTACTTGCAAAAAAGATGATCCTAAAGAAGTAAACTCTAACTAATGGGAAGAAAAATACATTCCGTTCCAGTTCTGACCACGAGTACCTGATCAAATCTTTTAATTTCGTGTTGCAGTTTTCCTCTCTGGGATCTGCAGACAATCCTAGCCACTCAACTGGTGGCATTCTTGGAAGAGCAAATAAGATAATAGGTCTTACACGTAAGAGACCAGTATCACCACACTGTGAATCTAGAAATCTGAAAAAATACATTCGTGATGCTTTTAATCCTACACTCTGGAAGTTGTTACTTTTAAAACTTACTTAAAAAGTGATGTCAGAAGTATAACAGTGAACTCTGAGAGTGTGAATCAGCATGGCAGCGTAGAAATTTGCCAAAATATTTGGCATCACTGTTGTATTTTCTCATCTGTAGCTTCATTTATAATCTTTATAGTCTACCAGTTATTCAACTAGAAAAGTGTAGACATCATATTTCAAATATAAATTTAAATAATTAAATAATTTACTTTCTAAATTAAATTCTAAGTAGAGTTATTTTAATAACGATAAATCATATTTTAATCTTAAAGTTGTTTGTTTTACATTTTAAAACCATATTTGGGGGGCACCTGGGTGGCTCAGTGGGTTAAGCCTCTGCCTTCGGCTCAGGTCATGATCCTGGGGTCCCGGGATCCAGCCCCACATCGGGCTCTCTGCTCAGCAGGGAGCCTGCTTCCCTTCCTCTCTCTCTGTCTGCCTCTCTGCCTACGTGTGATCTCTCTCTATCAAATAAATAAATAAAAATCTTTAATAAAGCCATATTTGGGTATTTATATTAGCAAAAGAATTAACAGCATAAAATAAAATTTTGTTATTGTTCTACTATTTCTTAGGTATTGCCAAAGAACTGTGTAATGCAGTTTTTTCATTGTTGTTTAAACGTAATGACCTTCACTGAGAATTCAGACCCTTTTACCACACTTCATCACTGTTCTATTTAGACAAGAATGAGGTTGAAGTATTCACTTGGGCCTGAATGTCCCAAACCTCTACTTCCTCAAAGATCCAGCTACAAAACTACAACAATGACAATGAACTGCAAATATGGGCGCTTACTTTTTTTTTTTTAAGAGAGAGAAAGAGAGGAGAGAGAGAGGAGTGGCAGAGGGAGAGAGAGAATCCCAAGCAGTCTCCACAGCCAGCTCGGAGCCTGAAACGGGGCTCAGTCTCACAACCCTGAGAGCATGACCTGAGCTGAAATTAAGAGTTGGATGCTTAGCGACTGAGCCCCCCAGGTGCCCCTGGGCACTCGTTACTAACAGGCCTTAAGAACCTTACCATGTGTGTGTAAGTAACGTTTAACATCCCTGAGAATGGGATCAGATCTTGTGCACCGTCATAAAGACCAAAGGACTTGGAAGTATGAGCATAAAGGACCAAACAGTGGTGCCATGAATTTCTGTAGGAGGGTCCAAAAATTTTTGTTTTTAGCCATCTGTTAAAATACTGACAGAAGACACAAAAATATCAAGCTGCCTTCATCTAAACTATGTATTTAATTTCTTAAAAAAATAAATATCCTCAACCAGTTAAAAATGGCAGTTTAAAAAGTTTAAAAAGACTAGCTCCTAACCCCCTAAATTTAGAAACACCACTCGAAATGCTTAACAGATGTGATATTTAATTCCTTGACTTGAATCATTTCTCAGTTAGGAATCACGAACTCAGACATCAGTAGAGCCCAGGCTGAGACGTAAGTATGTAATCTTGAGCGGTGGTGGGGATTGGCGGGAGAGCCCATACCCAGCAGAAAAGGCACAGCAGTTACCGTCGGTCATTCGCATGCAAGTCTGTGGACCCACTTTCTAGATTTTGTAACTTCTCAAGAAAAGCTCCAGATTTTAACGTGCAATGTCTTAATATTACCCCCAAGCAGCCGATGACTCAGTGTATAAAAGATCCGTGTGACCCAAGCAACACGTGTCCGTTGACCAAATCGGCTGCAGCTCTCTGTAGATACACGAGCTCCACCATTCTGGAGTAGCTAAAAACTTGATTATTTTCATGTTACATACATTCCTCATCTGTATAAGTTCATGTTCCCAGAGTAAGTAGAAGGCATAGTATTAGCACTGTCCTAAAATACTAGAGCACTTAGAAGTTGGTTATTTTAGACTTCAGTTTGATTTGAGGCATCTGGGTAAGATTTTTTTGGCTAATACAAGTCATAGAGTAATACAGAGCATTTTCCTTTATGTTATAAACCAGATGATTTGATACCAAGGACAAATACCACTTAATATCATATGATGTTTCACTCACTATAAACAGTCTTATCACTTTAGAGCTTAAGTTTAAAAGTTGCTGTAGTATAAATTAGGCAATAAATATACCTTGTCATTTTATTATATGTCTAGTATTTTGATGTGTTAGAGCTTTTAGAAAATATTTCTTTTCGATAAAGTTTAGAAAAAATTTTGTGCACAAGGATCTTAGAGTTCTCACTTAAAATTAAGTAAGAGGTAGCCACCAATCACAGAATTATACAGTAAACTGCATAGACGATAAAATAGATTTTGAAATTAGATATATACATGCGTACATGTGTACATATCTGCATACAGATCCCTGTGGAGGGCAAGGGAGGAGACAGTAATTATATGCCTGTATATGCATATTGATAGCGTGGTCAGTTACACAACCCAGACCATCAGAGATTTTGCTTCCACATTGAGCCCTTCCCTCAACTTAAATCTCTCACTTTGCATTGCCTTATTCTCCCCTCAGCTTTGAGAACTGTGTGAAGACGTGACTCAGCTTAGAAACTTCCTTCAGATTTGTGGGTTCTCCTATCATTTTGGTTATAACTTTTCACTGTGAGGTTTTCAAAAGCCATATTTGTGTTGGCTGCCTCAAAATCCTATTAGTGTTAAAAATCTCTGAAGTGTGACCTGTGGTTGAGAAGTCCCGCTCCAGGCCAATTCCAGAAGCTTCACCTGGCGAGCCTCCCCGGGGGAAATGCCCTCCCCATACCAGGTACAGTACCTGCCTTGGAGGAGTTGCGGTCAAGGACTCAGCCCCTGGACCCTCGGCCAGCTGTGCTCTTCCACATAACGTGTCTGCATCCCCAGCCCTGGTGCCTATATTTGGAGGCCTCCTTTTTGGGGGCCCTTGGCCATGACCTTTTTAAAATGCCTCTGGCAAGGCCATCTTATGAGGGCCTTGAAGACTCACTCTTTCTCCACTCTGATTCGGTGTTCAGTGCTTTTCTGCCCCTTGCCCTTTCTCCTTTCTCTCCCCCCGCCTTGTCCCCTCCCCTCAGCAGACACAATGCCTTGTTTCTGCACTGATACTTCTAACCTTCATCCAGTGCCATTTTCTGGGGGGGAAAGGACATTGATGAAGCCAGTACCTTCTTTCTGGCCTCTTGCTTTTACCATAGCAGGAAGTGAATAAAGGCTGAACTACTGCTTTCATTTTGACTTGATTTAACAGACCACTCTGACAGCTCAGCTCTTACCCTCTCAGCTGTTGACAGCAGCTTTCCGCACTGTAATGTAATAACTTAGGCAAGTCATCCAGAAACTGATGTGCAGACCCAGAATAGTGTACCACTTACTGATTCTGGAGTCACTTATTATTTCATTTATTTGAGATGCTTGACAACCCCCCTCTGCACATCCCTGAGAAGTCCACCATTTGGAAATCACAACCTACAGAAAGGTTGTGATGATTGGAGTCCGATTATTTTAAATTTATGCTCTGCTTCTTACCTCACAGAGGAATAAATCACAAAGAATCTATGGGCTTTGATTCCTATATCTTTATTATAATAAGGATGTAACATTACTAATACAAATATCTCAAAAAAATGTTTTGAGGGTTAAATCTAAAATGATTGTTGTAACCCTTCTTCAAAATTCTACAAAGTCATTACTTTTTATTAGACTTTACTCCTACTTTAATGACTGTTTTTTCTTATTATGATTCCCTTTCCCATGTCATTACCCAGAAGCTCTCATTGAAATAACTCAAGCTTCACTCTTCCTCTCAAGTCCTAATGATGCAACCTTTTATTTCAATATCTAAAAATATAATATTTCAGTGAAAAATGGTCAAATTAAACATTCTAGATTCTAAGGAGCATTGCAATAGGAAAATATACTCAAATGATTTTTAAAATTTTAGTGAAATTATTCTGAAATTATTCTTTTCACATAATATCACTTTACCAATAAATTTTCATATATATTTTTTTCCTTTTTCCTCCATGTCTTCTCTCTTCTCCTTAGTGTATTTCTCTGTCATTCCTTTACAGCTGCTGCACAAAATGTCTGATCATGAGCAACATGGGTTTCAGAGATGCTCACCTTCTTTCTGGCATAGTAGTGATGATTCATCTTCCTGTCTAAATAGTTCTTCCATTACTGTCACTCCTGTCAACTCGCCTGATTCCAGACTGTCATTGGGACTGTTAATACCACCACCTTCTAAATGTGGCCTTCCCAAGCCAATCAGTGAGAACAGCATCCCAAGACCTCATGTAATTTGCTAAGCAGAAAATTCTTTTTTATTATCCCACATAATTTTTTTAAAACTCTACTAAAATGTGCCATTTATATCATAATGAAAAACATTAGGTATGTCTTGAATCAATGTGATGGGACCTGGTGACTTTGTGTGCCACGTTTGCTTCCTTTGTTACCTGGCAGAGTTTCAAGTAGAGAGTGGTGATGGTGTACAAATCCCCAGAAAGGCGAATTAGGATAGGTTACTTCAAAGGACCCCATATATGGCAACTGGGAAATTAGATCATCAGTGATGTTGGTAAAAGCAGTTTTAGTGGCATTTGGCACAAAAAGAGCAGTTTTGATTGATATGAGTTAGTACCTCTTCCAAGGAAGTTAGCCTTGATGGAAAGAGTAAGAGATGCGAGGTGAGAGGAGTAAGACATTTTTGGTTGGTTTGTTTTGTTTTCAAGAACAGTCAAGATTTGAGTATCTTTATATCCTGAGAAAGAAGAGAGAGAGGGAAGCCAAGGCAGATAGAGGGATGGGTTGATCAGGAAAACAATATCCCTGGTTTGGAGGAAGTAGTTGAGGGATAAAGTTCCTTCAAAGTCTTTAGACAGTATTCGTGACTGATAAAGTGAGCGTGTTGTTAAAGAAAGGGAGATGACACCAGTTTTCCTGCATGAAAAGTGTACCTACAGTCCTATTAGCTGAATAATAACTCTGTCACTCGTCACACACAGTCAGCCTTATTTTTCTTCCATTACTTCCATTATCTGTGAATGAGAAAAATAAATATATTCAGAAAAGTCTAATTTTACTGTGAAACACATGAGATCATCTCTGTTCATGTTCTTTGAGGACAAGCAAGTTTTTTCTTACTACTCTTCTCCAAAATGGGAATTCTCTTTCTTTTCTAGATTGTGTGTGTGCAAGTGTATATTTTTCCCCAAATGACAATCAAAGTGATGATTCATTCCTGTGTTACATCTGGGTCCAGACTGACCCAGATAACTTGATGATTTTGATGGTATATTTAGTGATTATTAACTTATTTCACAAGGTAGATATTTATCATAGAAAACTGAATGAACTCTTACCCAGGAATAAAAGGCACTGCAGTGAATACAATAGTTGGCTGTCATTGTAATTATAAATACAAATTAACTTATACTCTGCAAAATTTTTAAGTTGCTATCAATTGCATTTGAATGGTCATAGTTTAAAAAGTACATTACTTCTGTTCAGTTATTTCTGTTTCCAACTTACGGAAAATGTATTACTGAAATCATGTTTTTATATAGTTTCTAATATTTTCAATTCTCTGATACAAATGGCAGTTGTTTCTAGATAGATAAAAAAGTCCAATATCTTTTATATCTGTCTGGAATAGCATTGTCACCATTTTTGCCATCATCTTTAAGGTCATTGTTGCAGAAATTTTCTGTTGCTTTCTTGCAATGGACATTTGGTGTGACTGGTTAACTCATATGGAATTGCCAGCGTTTGATCTAGAAAATGGCAAGTTCATACGATTCAACTGAATTTGTTGTTGTTTATACATGTTCTCTATGCATATGAAATATTTAGCATTATAGCGTGTCTTCCTGAAACACTGCCGTAATTCATATTATTTTCATTTGCAGGCGGGCACCGGGACACCCAGGTCCCCCTCCACTGACATCTTTGACATGGTACCATTTTCTCCGGTATCACATGCGTCTTCAACCCCTACTCGCAACGGCACGCAGCCGCCGCCAGTACCCAGCAGAGCTACTGAGATCAGTAAGCTTTCTAAACAAATCAATATTCTTAGCTATATTTGTGTACATTTTAGATGTTTCATTGACACTTTATGGAAAATTACATATCTTAAGTTCACTCAAAGTGTTAATTACCAAAGAATTATATTTCATTGCGCCAGATCAGCTAATCATATTTAACTTTATAATTCAGAGTATCTACTGATGACATCACTTAGCATTTGAAACTGTTTTATGAAAAATGATATTTTGGTATAGGGTTACTTATTTAATACAAAGCATTTAATCATATTTTATTTTATTTGGGTTATACTTTTAAATGTTTTAATGGTTAAAGACAACTTGGTAATTATTTTAATATTTTGACATGCTTAGTAAAGCTCAGTTTAAATTTTTCATTATCATTTAAAAAAACAATAAATTTTTTGTTATCATAGAGTATATGAATATTCTTAAATGTATAAAGATATGAATTCCATGACTTGTTTATTAACCCCATGGAAGTGTTCTCTCTGGATATCTGTAATACTATGCACACCATCGCTTCTCTGCTTTACCTTCTGCACATTTGGAAGGACCATAAGACTCTCTTCCTGATGAATTAGAAAACATCCAACAGATGTTCATTTTCAATGTCATGATTGTATTTTGATCTGTGCCCCATCACAGAAACGTAAAGAATAGCTCCCGATGGCTGTGCTCAGTCATTACGTCCAAAGGGAAACTGAAGAAAAGAGAGTTTTACAAACTATGCTTTATTGCGTTCTCTCTGGTTCACATTAAGAGGTTTTTGATATAACTCTGAAGTTATAGCTTGGGCTTAAAATATGTCAGGGTCTTTGTTTCCTTCTGTGGAACTTACCAAAATATATTACACGTTAGATCTTCAGTAAATTTCACAGAATTAATTTGTAAATGCAAAGCAGTAACATTAGAAACTTTAAAAATCAGTTTACAAAAATATGTCCGTACTTTTACATAAATTGAAATATATATTTAAATTCCTGTGAATATATTTTCTGCCAATGCAAATATTTTTTCAGGAAATAATCTATAATATATATGCCGTAGTGTATTTTTAGCAAATGTTTCCAATATCCTGATACAATATCCTGATACAATATCCTGATGCAATATCCTGATGCAATGGGGCATTTCTTTGTCTTTATGAGTGTCCCACATCTCTTGCTTCACTGTCTTTTAATTCCTTGGACGACCACCGGTTTACTCATTCATTATTTAGTCCAAAGGGCATTTGTATGGCGTGTGTGCTAGAGCTGGGTTACAATCTGGAATTTGAAATATAAATTACAGAGATGTACTACAAAAGAGGATTTTAATCCAAGTCAAAATACAAATTGAGAAGAGCGAATAGATTTGAAAATATTTAGAAGGAATAGTATTATCCCTTTCCCGATTGGGAGTTCATGATCAATTATGATTCAGGATTTTAGACTGAATGTTGTTAATAGGGAAAACTGGAAGTAGAAAAGATGAAAAATGCATTCTGTATTAGAATTGGTAAATCTGATACGCCTTTGGAAAATCTGGGCAAAGATGCTCCAGTGGTTTTAAGGAATTTTTTAATGAGAAACTGAAGTAACACCTTGCTGTATTTTTAAATATCTAATGATCCTGAGTGCCAAAATTTAACAAACATAATGAAAGATATGGATGGATAGATAGGTAGATGGATAGGATTCTAGATGCCCCTATACCGTATCTATCTTCATAGCAAATGCTGTAGGAAAAATGATACAGACAGACTTGCTTGATACCAAATTGCCCCAAACCCTTTTAGTTTGTAAAAAACCACGCTCTCTGTGAAGCATTGTAAAGCAAAGCACCATGAGCCGAGACACGCCCGGAATGAAAATCTCTGTTCTTCTCTATCAGCTCTACTTCCTTTTCATTACTTCCTTTCTTTCTGTTTGTTTATTTATTTACTTATTTATTTCATTACTTCATTTCTTTTCACAAACATCTATCGTTTGTACAACATTGTTGGTCAGGCTTGTGGTACGGTGGAAACCCAGGCACTCTTCCAAAGGAAAATTCCTTTGTTCTCCAAGTTCTGATTCATTGCCCAAGCCACATGAGACTGAGGAAAATAACAACAGTAATAACAACACTCATACCCATATGCAATACCTAGTCATATTTATATATAATATTTTTATATAAGGTGACAACAAATTCCCACTTGTTTAGCACAGTTCTGGTTTATACATTTTGCCCTGGTGTAACTGTTGGTACCATTTCTTTTAGAATTAAAAGTGTCTTTATTTGGATGATAAAGTATATGTCCCTCTTATTTATACAATACTTGCCAGCACCAGGAACTTATAACAAATTTTTACTTATTTAACTCATGAATTTGGAAAAAGAACAGTTATGACTAAAAAGGCAAGAGTCTTTTATAATGAGGGTCAGAGATTAGTTTAGAGGACATGGTAAAACTCAAGGAACATAAATATTACCTCTTACATAGCATTGACATTTGAGGATATAGTATTTCTTAATATATTATAAATTCTCACACACCTATATAATTATAAATTCTCACACACCTATATAATTTTTAAAAAATTATCTTTAAAATTAAAAATCTTTCTCAGAAGAAAGGAATTTCCTAATTTTTAAATTTTCAAATAATAGGCCATAGTTTTATCAATTGCAAACATTGATTTTTAACTTTGATACTTCTTTAGTATCTTAACCAAAAAATGAATACTTGAGAATATATGTTACAGAGAGCTTTTTGGTATTCCATTATTGCTATTTTTAAGAAGAAATTTGTTTCTGGGATAGGAGGCGTTTTTAAAGAACCTGTCCCATTGTGTTCATTTAGGAAGGGACAGTGTGCCTTAAATTTTCTGAGTAGAGGTGGGGTTAGGTTACGGATCTGTGGGCGGAACAGTCGGCCTGGGTCCCGCCTGTCGCTCCCTGGCCATCGCGGTAGGAGGCGCCGGGACGTGGACTGGGGACGTCCCCGTGAGTAACGCGCTCGCTGTGGAAAATTTAAATTGCTTCAGAAAAAGTGCAGGCGTCGCAATGTGGTCATTTCAGCTACCCGGGGAGTTTGGCACCGAGAAGTCTTCAAGGCGCAGAAACCTGTCCGGATAACGATTGCTCGAAACCGGACGGTTCTGGATATGGTCACGAAATGCATCTTTGCGGCTTTGCTGGTGTTTGCGCAGTCTGAGCGCGGGAAAGGCCCGCGTGGGGAGTGTGCGGCCCGTCGCGCGTCCTGCCTCGGGACCCGCCCCCGCCCTCGCCCCAGCTGCGTGCCCGGGCCACCCACGGTCACTCATGAACTGTTCTCTGCTTTCAGAACGGGACCTGTTTGGAGCGGAACCTTTTGACCCGTTTAACTGTGGAGCGGGGGATTTCCCTCCAGATATTCAGTCAAAACTGGACGAGATGCAGGTGACTGTTCTCACAGATGGGCCCGCGAGTGGTTTCTTGGTCTTTAATCTGGGACCCAAAACCGCCCTTTCCTTACGTGAACTTACTTGAAACGGTTGCTTTGAAAATAGGAATATACATTTAGTCCTAAAAGTCTAGGAAATGCGTCATTCCTACGCATGCTAAGGATGGTTTTTTATTGTGTTTTGTGTTAAGTAGTGTGATTTACAATGGCAATAAGTTGGTTCTTTTATTCCACAAAATTACATGGATTCTAATGGTTCATTACTTTGAAATGCAAAAATTACAGGGCAGCTGTCCTAGGTTTACAAGGTTTCGTCTCAGTTTTACCAGTTATGGAGTTCAAATTGGGAGTGGGTAGATGAAGGGCGATCTCTGTGAGCGGGAGATCGGTGTCTTTGAAGACAGGCGCCGCAGCCGTGGCTCGTAACCCATGGGCTCTCTTTGGGAGAGGGGGCAGCAGTGACACCTTCAGGAGTGTCATCCGCTTGTGTCTTCACTTCTCTCTCCCTCTTCTGTTTTTCAACCTTACTTGTACTGGGAGTTTGAAGATACTGGTTTTAAAAGCTTTTTACAGTGGGCCATGATCAATAAGTCGTCTTAAAAGCACCAGAAAAAAACCTCTTTATATTTGCCCTTTACATTTGGTGGAATTATTAGATCCTATTTTTATCAAAAAGACTATTTATATGGTAGCATGTAGGCAAAGACCTATTATAGGAAGCTGATTGAGAAGAAGCAGTGGGGAGAAGGAGTCATTCCTGTTTATTAGGTGGTTCATTCTCTGTGCTCCATTTCCTGGACGAAACAAGTAAAGGTGATTTCTGACTTTCTAACACTGGTGAGACACCCCTTCCTAGAAAGATAATATAAATACCCTTCCCTTCATTTTGGACCACAGCTAGGACGCAGTTGTCTTCTTTTCTAGGTATTATGTGAATTTCCTTATTGTTCTGGTTATTATAATGCGTGCATCTTAAGTGTTGAGTAACATATGCCTTAAGATTTCAAAGAATATGTTGAAACAGCATTTCTCAAGTTGGGTGATGGATAATTTTCTTTTACATGAAAAAGTTATTTTAAATCCTTTATATTGACTTAAATTGTAACATTTCTTAAATATTTACCAGAAAAGTTATAAATAACTTATCCTCACAGCTTCTATTCAACTATTAATTCAAAAATTATAAATTAAATAAAAGCAAAATTACAACACCTACTAAAATTCAAATTAAGAACTTCAGCAGGATGGGTGATGTCAACTTCTGTTGATTTCAGCAGGGACCCGGTTTGTTGGTACAATTTTTCTCCCTCTTTTTCCATATTCAGATACTACAAAACTTCCACTCAGATAGTGCATGAATATTTAGCAAGAATACTTTATTTATTTCACATGAAATCAATCCCTTTCCTTTTTCATTAGTTTTACCAATTAGGTTTGTGCTACTTGGGACTAATGCTTTTATAAGAACAAACAGAAACATGGGCTCAGATCTGGTGCCGTTTGTCCTCAAGCATTATGTAGATCACGAAGAGTACTTTTCTATTAATGTTTTTTTTTTTTTAGTTTTCACAAGACTGAAAACATTTCGATAGATTTTTAAAAATAAATCTACATCTGCAGATTTTTGTAGGAACTAACTTTGAGAGATGCTATTATGGAATGATTTAGTGATGTGTTAGTTAAATAATGTTAAGCTGTGGTATTTTTGCTTCTGTTTTTGTTTTTGCCACTTCTAATATTTTCTTAATGTCTTTTTTATTCTTTTCTGCTTTCATGGTGGGTAGCGCCAGAGATGGTTGGTATATTATTTTCATAATAATTTTAAACAACTTACAACTTCGTAAAGCTAAAACCTTAATATTTGCATGCTTTACTTAATAAATATTCAAATAGCAGTTTCATATGGATGTTTCTGATTGTCGTGTGTAAAAAGGTTTTATAACCCGTATTTTAAAGTTGTTTTTTTCAGTGGTGTAGTCTCTTTTGCATTGTGCACCTCATTGCTTGTCTGATTTTGTTTTTCTTTGTTTTGTTTTTAGTTCAAGATTTACTTGCAAGGGTCACTTTAACTAAAGTAAAATAATATTTTCTTCATCTAAAGTCCGTGACCACTTTTTTTATTAATCTTGTTAGCCTAATTAAGCTAATGCACATATTTGGCTACTATGTTTATCTTTGTATACAATGTAAAACCAGTTATAGTACAGTGGGTTGTAGGAGTAATATTGAGTTAATGAGCCTAATGAGATATTTGGGTTTTCTCTTTCACTTAGAGGAAGTTATAAAAGTATCTTGTGTGTGTCAGGATTTAAGCAGAAATATGAAGTCATATTTTATTATAAACTGTTAGAAAATTAAATATTTATTTGAAATCAATAATGTGGTTATTTAATTTGACATAATTTAGACTTCCTGGTACATGTCACTGACAGGCAAGTCAGCAAAGTAGTATTGACAGCCCAGAAGTATACCTTCTAAGTTATAATAATTTAATACATTTAAAAAGGAGCATGGCAAGAAGGATGAAAGAATTTTGCATAAAGGGGTGTTAAGTCAGCTGGTTACTACTTTGGTAGAAGATCAGTCCACAGCAAGTAAATTTCAGAAAGAGTAGTCAGTTTAAAATGTTTGAAATACAGTTGAATATTTATCAGACTTCTGAATTGAGAAGAAATTTCTATAAGGAAAAGAAAATTATGTAGTTTTATGGCATCTGTAGTTTTTTGTAATTTTTTCCTTTTCTCTTTAACAATATATAAATATATCACATATACATAATTAAAGTAAGTAGACAAGTAATTAGAAAACTTAACAATAAGATAAATAAAAAAAACAGCAGCTCACAAAAGAGCACAAGTTGCTAACATGCATGTTCAATCTAACCAAGTGTTAGATGGACATGTTCAATCTAACCAAAGGAAATCTACAAATTAAATACAAAAGAACTAGAAATGCTATTTTAATCAAGCAAAATAAACATTTTATTTTTAAAATTTTTTTATTTATTTTACTTATTTATTTTATTTTCTTCCCCAGTGCAAGTGAAAGTGTGATGAGATAAGTCCTCTAACTCACTGCTGGGCTAGGGTTAGTTCATAGCATCCCTATGGAGAGTAATTATTAGTAAAACTTACCTTTTTTTTTTGAGATCAGAAACTCTAACGCAGTCTATTCAGAGAAGAAAATGGCTATAAATGGGGAAAAATTCTATGGGAAAAACGTTCTAATTAACTTTATTCATAATTATAAAATACTCAAAACAGTTAAATCACATTAAAAATAATAGATTGGTTGCTGCCAGAGGGAGGAAAAGTAAAGAATATATTAAGAGGCACAAACTTCCAGTTACAAAGTAAATAAATCACAGGGATGAAAAATATAGGGAATATAGTCAATGATATTAGGATAACTTTTTATGGTGACAGGTGGTAACTACACTTACTGTGGGGACATACCATAATGTATATAAATATTGAGTCACTATGTTATACACCTAAAACTAATATAATATTGTGTATCAACTATACTTGAATTTTAAAAAAATTAATAGATTATGTAATCATTAAATTAGTTTTATGGGGACCCAATAGGGAATGTTTGTTCCATTAAGTTTTAAAAAGAATATAGAAAATTATATATATGTGATACATTAAAATACATAAGAAATTTATGTATAATATATGGTTTTTATATTAATATTAAAATTGTTGAAAAAAAAGCCCTAGAGATCGAAAAAAAGGAGACTCAAAGGACATACCTCAACATGTGAACGTTCTTCCAGAAGACTGACTTTTCCTTCCTTGACACGCTTTTCTCCCTATTTCAAAATAAGGCAGTGCAAGGGGGCAACATATTTCATTAAAAAAGCACATTATTAGTACTTTGTTAACAATAAAGTTATCTTTTGCATGATACTAATTTACAATACTTTCTTTCACTATGTAAGTTAAAGAAAGCTTCATTTTCATCCAGAGTTTTGAAATTCAAGATGTGGAAACCGAAGAAAGATTCGCTGACATTAAGTCATGATTTACTAAATGAGAGCTAGGAGCAAAGGTTAGAAACTGTGGGAAATTTTATCTTAGGAGTAAAGAAAACAAAAGAGAGAGAGAATATTATGTGTCTATTAATACAGATCATTAAATTAGTCAAAGGGGATTCCAAAGGGATCCTTATAAAATCACTATGGAGGAAAAAAAAATCACTATGGCGATATTCTTGTAAATGATTTACTTTTTTTTATTGTTGAAGTAGCGACCAATCCCTATTTCACTATGATTGCTCTTCTGCCATGGAAACACAAACCACACGGATAGTGTTTTCAGTTGAAATGATTGTGGTTTCATTTCAGAATGAACTGAGAAACATTTTAAACACCGTATCAAAGCTTTCCAAGTCAATATATATCCTATCTATCTATCTACTGTGCCAGAAGACGACATAGTACACAGATCCTCACATATCCCAATAAAATAGTTATACAAAACAGTTAATTTGCACTCTTTCGCTCTAAGCATTGACTTCTCTAAGTACTTGACAGCTGTTTAAAATAATATGCATAGATATGACAAAATATTTCTTCTGGTGATAAGAACAGGCTTTAAAAAAGTAAAGGTAAGTACTCTGACTTTTACTCAACCGGCTCTAATTTATATTCTAAGTTCTGGGAAGAAGTTCTGAACAGCCTTTGCGGTGGGGCATGGCCCGGGGGTCTTCCTGCTATAGGTGGAGTGAGGAGCGCTTTGACAGCAAACCAGGCGTGGCTCCCAGTGTCCTATTTTCTCCCTCTCTGCGATCATGTTGACACTGGATTTGTGATAAGGACGTTAGATACCTGTTGCAAACTGAAGTGATTTGGGGGAAGGCAAAGGGATTCACAACTGGCTAGCGCGCGAGTAGGTACACTCAAATGGAATAAAATGCAAAGGACAGAGGACCACAGCCTCCTCTCTGAGGGACATTTTACTTCCGGCGGGAGTAGGCTGTTCACTCTTCGCTCGCCCGTAATGTGTCCCCTGGCCGGCCCTCACCACACGTGACCTCCCTGAACAAAATTTCAGGTCCTGTCAGTGAGAGAGAAACGTTTAGTATGAATATAGGAGCCACAATGCTTCTACAAGGAGACCCAGCATGTGGCCCCCAGTTCCCCCATGGCTGTGAGGCCATGCTTTGATCTCTGCACCCTGGCATGCCTGCCTTAGGGGCAGGGGAGGGGAGGGAGGAGGTGCTAAGGCTGGAGAGAGCCCCTCAGCTAACAAAAAAGAAGACAGCTCAGAGTAGAGCACAAACTTTTTTCCACCAGCTCTTAACTGGAAGTCTTCGCTGCTTGTGACGAGCACTGGGTGTTGGATCACGAGGTCCCCCCGGAAACGAATGCGACACGGGGCCTTATTAACTCGCTGGAACTGAAACAAAAACTTGGAGGGAAGAGAAATCTTACGAGGAAAAGCTTGTGTGCTTGCTCTCAATAAACCAGGGGCAACTTAACTTCTGGAAACATCTAAACCCTGCGGGGGGAGCGGGGCGCAACCTTACAGCTACAAGCAACAGCGGGGCCAGTAGGGGAAGCGTTCTCTGTGGCCAAGTGCCCTGCAGTTCTGTGTTCCCCACGGGAGGCGGCATCGGGTTTACTGTTAGCAGGTTTACCCAGGCCCTAGACAGGGCTGACCAGGAAGAGAAGGCAAAGACCCTCGGGCTTTCGAACTTTTCATCACATCGGAGGTCCCGCTGTCTTACGTACATGTAACTGGTGTTAGCCCTGAAAGGCAGGAGAGGAGATTTAAACTACGGCAGAATGGCAGAACAGACCTTAGGCCTCACTGACCAAGAAACATGTAGGTCTTAAAACCACGTAACTCCCTGTCTTCCTGTTTTCTTTTGTCTTTTGGGCATGCTAACCTCATACATTCGTATTTAAAATGCCTGAGACACACACGGAAGAATTGGACAAGCCAGGGTTTGCTGTGTTGCTCCTCAGCTGATGAGAGCATGGAGACTTCAACTACTGTTCAGTCTTCTTATTTTATGAATATTGTCATTATTATCATCTTTATTACTGTCATGAGCATTTCTTATTTTAATGATTTTACTCTGTTTTACAGGAGGGGTTCAAAATGGGACTAACTCTTGAAGGCACAGTATTTTGTCTCGACCCGTTAGACAGCAGGTGCTGATGTGAAGAACAAGATGTCCAGATTTGGGTTAAGTTTGTTTTCTATGCATATAGATCACTCCTAAATACTTTGTGATAGGTGGTGTCTGTGTGCCAATATGTGTTTGAAGATCTCCACTTGTTGCAAATTATTTTAGTAGAATGTCTTCCACTATTGATCTATGACGTTTATTTTAAAAATAAGTCACTGTAAAGTAAATCATACTTTTATGTTCCTTTCTGTTTCTCTTGTCGATGAATTTAGAATCAAAGAACAAATTATCCAAATATCTGCCTTGTGTCTGAGTTCTGAATGATTAGCATCTTGAAATCTGTGTTCATTTTCCAGGCTGCTACTTTATTATTCATCCCCAAAAGCCATACCTTGATGATCCCTTTCAGTCTTGAGGAGATTTACCAATGCTAAACTTAGTATATCTGTATTCAGACCAATAAGCATGTTACCATGCATCAGACAGGTGTTATTTTATGTATTAAATGTTGTTCATATCATCGGCAACATGTAAACTTTGAGTATAATGCCGCCAGGTCATTTTTAGCAGGTAAAATAGCAAAAACATAATTTCCAATAATAATTAAGCCAAATAATTATTTATTAGTAAAAGCAAAGTAATAATGTTAGCTATTACAGTCAGTCATACTCTAAATCTTTTATTTATTTCATAAGTAAGGATAATGGTAAAAGCCAAAAATTTGCTCATTACAAATACACTTAAGATTTAATTTCTCATGAGATACGTTACATTGCTAAACATCTAAACATCATCTGATCTAATATTTTCTAAAAAAAAAAAAGGAATGTCGGTTGTCTGCAGTTGCAAAATCTATTACCCACATTTACTTTACCAAATATATTTTTTCTCACTGAATATTATTCTCATATTTTCTTCTTTGATAAACATTTTCTCACCAAATTTTATTTTGTGATGCCCCATTAGTTTTGATACTTTAAAATCTCCAACAATTATTCTTTATGAATCACCAGTATTATTTAGCAACTTTAATTCATATTTGTTTTAATTGAAGTCAGAATTTCATTTTTTACAAAAATCAAGTGGCTTCTCAGTTTGGGTTAACATGAACAATGAAATTTTCTTTCATAATGTGCCGATGAACTCCGACCTTTTAAAATGTTAATTTTCTATACCTTTGCCCATTATGTAACAGATTTTAATTGGTATTCAGTGCAAGAAGGATTTATGGTTAAAATTTATAATTTGGTTCATTGCATCATAAGAAAAATAGATTAAATTAATAAAATGTGAGCTTAGATTAGGGATATATCTCAAAAATAGATTTTTTTCTTTTACTCCTGGGGATTTTTGTCAAGTGCTAAGGGTACATATTCACTAGGAAAAGAAATCATAAAATGCTTATGCAATGTTATAGTTGTATGTATCTTCATAACGTTCTATGGTAGACATAAGCCTTCTTACTTGTTTCTGTATCGGCTAAGTTGTACCTTAGTTAGAGGTTAGCATATGTTTCATAAAGAAGAATCTTTTTAATTTTGTTTGTCATATAGTATTTTGGAATTTGTATAATGAGGATGTTTAGAAGCCATATCAGTGGCTTTTTTTAACAGATAGAATTTGTATTTTTATTGTACTTTAAAAGCTTTATGTAATAGGTATATATTTAGTGGCCATTTATTACCAATGGTAACACCATAGAGTACTAAGATGGTATTTGCACACTTAAGATACGTTACCTTGCCATTTTTAATGGTAATCGGTTCTGCTGCTGGCATGACTAAATAGTACACAATTGGTTATGAATTATGAACGTTCATTTCTCCAGTGCATTTTTATGAAGATCCAGTTGAAAATTGTATTTCTATGTAAACTCAATGATATGTTTGATTTTGCTGAGAATAAATGATTTTAAATAAATAATTGTATATTTACTCATTAAATAATCTCTGGTTAAGTTAGAAACATTCTGAAGCTAATTACGTGACAAAGTTTCTAGGTCACCCAGTGAGGCCTCAGAGTGGAAGGAAGGAAGAAAGGCAGGAAGAGAAGGAAAAGAATGAATGAACTTGACTGTTAACTTCATTTCTTACAGCCACACACGCTAGCTTTATAAGCAAGTATCGTTCGGTTATGAAACAGTGACCTCAGTTCTGCGGGGAGAGACGTCATAATTTGGTTCCTTTCACTAGGAGTGTCTGGTGCAATAACTGTGTTACGTAAACATCTCTCTTCAAAATTGAGGGCCTTTTCAGCCTAGTAATAATAGAAAGGGTTTCTTGGAAGATAGTCTTTGTGAGGTGGACTTGATAGTAAGATTTGAGCTGCGGCTTACTGGAACATCATGAAGTCTTGAAAATTTGAAAAGAAGATATTATTAAAGATGCACAGGACTCACGTGTGCATTCTTTGCACACCAGTGAACAACGCATCAACCCAGTCAGTAAAGCTCATTGATTACTCACTTTATGTGATAACATATCATATGTGGGTTGGAGAACATCTAGTAACTGACTAGATTTAAGTTTGCTTACTTACTTAACAGTTAAATTGAAGATGACCAGGTTCCTGCCTTCAGTCAGCTCAGTGTCCTAAAGGAAAAGTAAGGCACTGTATGAATTGATAGGTGAAAACCAGTATGTTCTAAAGTACCGTGTGAATCAAAACCTTCCCAGAAGACATTTATATTTAATTATGTTTAAATGTGGGTACCTGGTACTGGCTAGTGTCCACGGTGTTGGATATCCGCTGTGAGACTATCAAGACAGTCCAATGGCAATAAGTTTTTCTTCTTATTTCTTTTATTTGGGATCTGATTTTTTTCAAAAAATTTTGGTCACCTGATGGGAATTTATTTTTCAGATAGAATTTCTGATAGATTTTGCATTGTTGCATTTCTGAATGTTTTTTTTTACTCTTTTTGATGTTACTTAACCGTGAAAAAAACTAGCTGCTAATATTTTTCTGTTCCAACGTTTCCACATATATATAGTTCCAAATTCAATATTTATTCATGATTTTGGATTTCAACCTCTGTTAAACTAGTTGGGGAATCTTGGACTCAATTTTGACAACTAATCTCAGACTCCACCTAAACTACACCCTTTCTAAGTGGCTAGCACCCTGCTGAGACGGGCGCGCCTCGTGTCGTGCTCAGATCCCCGTGTCTCCCGCAGGAAGAGCCTAACTTGTGTCGTCTCCTTCCTAGATGAGCTCAGATAAATTCCTCAAGAACTTCCTCCTTCAGTGTCCATCTCCTAAATGGGACAAAATCTTAATTCTTCAATACTTGTTCCATGTCTTTTTTTTTTTTTTTTAAAGATTTTACTTATTTATTTGACAGAAAGAGAGAGAGAGTGGGGGTGGGTGGAAGAGGAAGAAGCCGGCCTTGCTGCTGAGCAGGGAGCCCTCCTTGTCCCGTGTCTTGATCAGCTGTTGAGGACGAAATGTAACCCACTTGTAGAAACCCCTCATATAAAACTTATTTTCTCTGGATTCATCCAAAGTGGGTTTCCTTACTCTAATAAGGAGACCACCTAAAATAACTTATGGTCTTCTAAGTCCTTGCTTTCAAATAAATTTTTATGAAATATGGATATTATTTAAATAGCAGAGGACATTATGCTTCTCTGGATTCATTTCCTTCCGTTTCCGTTCATGGGTTCTAAGACACAGTACTTCCTGAACCGCACTTAAATAATATGAAAAACGTGGCATACTTAAGAAGTTGAGTTTAAAGTCTCATTTCAAATTTTTCTGACATTACATGATAAATGGAAATAGTGGAATTTCTATATCATTAACATTGGGTTTCATGTCAGTTAATAGTACCACCATTGGGGTGCCTGGGTGGCTCTGTCAGTGGGTTAAGCATCTGCCTTTGGCTCAGGTCATGATCCCCGGGTCTTGAGATCCAACCCTCATCAGGCTCCCTGCCCTAGGGGAAGCCTGCTTCTCCCTCACCCACCCTCCCACTGCTTGTGTTCCCTGTCTTGCTGTGTCTCTTTCTGTCAAATAAATAAAAATCTTAAAAAAAATAGTACCACCATAACTATATGACAAAAAGTTTGGAAAAATTTACTTTATTTCCCTTACCCGCATTTTTGGCATTTGTTCAGATGCATAGTCAACATGCATTGAGTCAAACTTTCCCAGTTTACATGCAAGTCTATCTATAGGCACCTTGGACTATGCAGTAAGGCTTTTAAGCAGTGCTGTTTTCATTAAAGAAAACCTGGTTAAAAGCTGTAGCAGTTACCTTCTTAAAAGGATTCTTCAGTACCCAGTGGACCTAATTAAGTAATTTATTAGAGGACATTCCGATATCCCATAGCATTTTCTTGATAATTTGTCCTTTATTGAATTATTAATAGATTTTGCAAAAATATATAAAATACTGTCTTGGAAAACCTTTTAAAAATATTTTAATAAAGTTTTTTTTTTAAACTTCTCTATTTATTCTCCAAAAGTCTTGAAGAAAAGTTTGCTCTGACATTTTTATATCCTTCGGTGCCAAGCACAACATTTTGTCCATAATCATTCAGTAAAGAATGCTTCTTTAGCAACATGCTTCTTGCTAATGATGTGAGCTAAAACTTCTTAAGCTCTCTGGGAGAGAAAAGAACCACATGCCTTCCAAGTAAATGTTAGAAGATAATACTTTGTTCTCTCTGATGAAAACTTTACTATGATTTTAACTTTTATCTCACTGCAGCAATAATTTGCTGAATAAAGATCTTGACCGATCTACAACCACTATAGAATCATAGACCAAGGAAATCTGGCCCAACCGAGTGAGGGAAAACCAATGATTACAGAGTTTTTAAAGAGGCTGTGAAGATTTAACGATGAACATTCTATAACTGAGAGACGCTCCTTATACCGAAGGGAATGGAGAACTGTATTTGCTGAGTGTGTATGTTAACTCCTACTGTACCTTTCCTTGAATCCCATATTGTTGTCACACAGTTTTCGTTGGTTTTAAATATTTTTAAGCTCATTTATTTGTCCTTAATTTTTATTGTCCTTTTACTTCAAATGACATTTCACAAGAACATGTTG